AACTCTGAACTTATTGCATAGTTTGGGCTCCATTTCGGCTTTTCTCTATGCCCACTCAACTCTTGTACCAGGAACTCACACAGCACGTGCAGCAGAGAGGGAGACACACACACACATCAAGCTAATTAAGCATACTTCAATAAAGTAAAAAATAAGAGAAAAAAACCCACAAAAACATCATAGAAAACGTGGGCCAAAAAGCACACATGAAGCTGGAGTTGGAGTTGGAGTTGGAGCTGACGTTGGAGCTGTAGTTGGAGCTGGAGCACCCACAGAGCGTGGCACGCGATAATCAATCAAAAGCCATTAAAGCCAAACGGTTTTTCGAAAACAAAGCTGGCCCAAAAGACAATGAATCAAAGTAGAAAGCATTTCATCAGAAGTAACCAAAAGGAGTGGCAAAAATCATCTATATCTACGCACAGAGCACACAGCACAGAGCATACAGCATCGACGGCTGTCAAGACAAGTTAAAGATCAAAATCGAGAAAACAAGATCAATGGAGCACACGACGAGCTCTTGGCACTGCTTAGGCTAGACAGACAGTTGCAGTTGCAGATGATTGACGGAATTAGAATAATCGTATGAAATCGTGCGGGTACCGAGGAAAAATTATGATAACGTTTATTACTATTATTAAATGACCCAGTTAAGGCCCATTTAGGCCGGGCAAGTGAAAAGTGAAGGCGTTCCACACACACACATACACACACACACACACACAGACAGTGAGCGAGAAGAATGTCACAACAGCAGCGACTGAAGTCGATGTCGCTCAGACTTTGGCAAATGCAAATTTCCACTGCCTTACAGTTTTTTTTTGCCATAGCCAACTTTCTAAATGAAATTCCAATCGCATGCCGTCTCGCTTGCCAGCTAGCATGCCGTCTCGCTCGCACACTGCATGTGTGCACAAAATTAAAGAAATAATTTCAAGCGAAAATATACAAATTGATTGTCACCTGGCAGGCGAGCGACTTAAACCTTACCTTACCTTTTTTTTTTGCCAGCGCCTTGCTCTAAATCAAAGCACCTTTCTCCATTTATCGGCCCAGACACACTTAGCCATGGCTAATACAAATAAATTTTAGCCCAGTGCTAGCGCTTGGGCGCACACGTGTCAACGACACCCGAGCAACGTCATTGAGGGGGTGAGTGGGTGAGCTGACGGGTGAGAGGGGGGAGGGTGGAAGCTGAGGACGAGGTCCGCCATTGGGCTCAATTAAAGCGACGCGTCCGCCAAATTGCTCGAGCACTTTTATTGTCGCCAGTTGGCGGCGTCTCTCGAGGATATATATATGTATGTATATATATTTCTGTGGCTTGTCATTTTGTCGCGACGCCTTCAGTGTCTCTCAGGTCGCCAGCTTTCCAGGGTCTGCCTCTGTGCATGTGTGCGTGCACCTTCCGCTCTTTGTTTCTCCTCCAATCAGTCACTCAATTGTGATCATTCGCGTAATTGCCTTTGACAAGCTACGCAGCCAGCGATTCACCATTTGCAACGACTGTAACTGCAACTGCAACTGCAACTGCAACCTCTTGTTGGCATTTTGTTTGACTTGGATTAAGTTTAAGTGCATGGCTTAAGATTCCCAGCATTGTTGACTAAACGTTCGGTCACTCGCTCGATCGTTCGATTGCTGCGCTCATCTGTATAGCCAACCAACCTCTATTATCATGTTAACCAGTCGCAGCTATGGAGTCTCGGCAATCAATGTCAGCTGCTGCTCATATGAGTGTTATGAGCTGTCTTCTCTAAGTATATGAAATGCTAGTATAAAACTAACTAAAGTATATATATTTTTATATATTATATTTTAAGACCCCTGTCTTAAGATTAGATTTATTCTAATCTTTAATAATTAAATATTTTTATGCGACAATCGACTTACTATGAACCTTCTCTATCGTTGGCTAAAAATAAATATAAACACCTCTATACTCCTCTAAGAATTTATTAAAAATGATATGTCCACGCCCACTGACAGTAAATTGGGGAAAACTTTATATATTTCATATAGATTACATAGAACGCATTGAAACGTAATCAGAATGTTCTGCTGCTGATGATCAACCGGAGTGTATCAACTGGGGTATCACTCACACCTTTTTCATTCACACGATAAACAATTTAGCTACACCAATCTACCTCTACACATTTGTAATAGCTCCAAACACAAATCAAAATATAATATATAAACCTATTTATTCGATTTTTGTAAATCATGTAAACACTTAAATAGGGCCCAAGTCGATCCCGTTATTAGCTCAAATATTCCACCTTTAAAGTGGTTTATACAAATTTGAAGTTTCTTTTGGGTCAGACCAATACAAGTTTTATTTATCATTATTATTATTATTATTTTGTGCTGAGACTAAGGCACCCGAGTCTATGACAACTTTTACTCATTTGACAACAATTTCACTGGCGTTGCATGTCGATCACGGAGACACTTGTAAAGTGGACAAATGCCGACATGGTTCATTCCAATGGATTATACCACACATATAGCCGCAGTTCACCCTCTCCACCTTTCAGAGGAGGCACTCGACATCCAATGGATCGCCGTCTAACTGGTATTTGGCAATTTGAGCATGCAAAAATGATTTTATTGTTGTACGAAAGTCAATGCAAGACACTGGGAAAACTCAGCAACTGCAACTGCAGTCAGTACGTCATGTCCGTGTCAAAAAGCTGGCCCCGGGCGATCTCGCGGCCAAATATTAGCACACAATTCGATTTTGCATGCCATGGCAGGTAGTAAAGTTTTACGAGTGCAAGTGGTGCTGATGGTGGTGCTATTGGTGGTTGTGGTTGGTGGCTGCTGTGCTTCATGACTCTCGATTTGGTGTCGGGGCCAGCATCTCCTGGGTTTTATCCACATCCACAGCCATATCCATGGCCATGACCATAGCCAGCTGCGCTTTTCGCTTTCACCTGTTGGCCGCAGTTATGTAAAATCTACTGTCAAATTAATGGTGATTTATATGTGGACCATAATGTGAGCTTAATGTACATTTGAGCATGCAAATAGTGACATATATGAGTATTACAGTTCCTGTTCAAGATAGTCAGAAATGACGAAAATATATAAACACTTTTCGGGCTTTTTTTGTAAATCTGCCGACTAAAGAATTGAGAATAACAGCCATTAAAATGGAAAATCATTTTTCTTTATATTATATTTATGAATAGACTATGAATCATTCCATATTTAATATCTCTCTTTTGAGGTTTTTTTTTTTGTGAATCTACTCACAGCTTAAGATCTATGAATCTAGGAATTCTCCTGATATTTTGAACATAATCAGATGGGAGGCCAATATATGATCATTGACTATGTATTGATTCTTAATATCTCCATTTGGGGCTTTGCTTGCTTGCTAGCAACTTTAAATATTGGGAAGTCGAAATAATAAGTGGTCACTTAATTTTCTCCAGATCTTATGATAGACTATCCCTAACATCTTGATTTGTTGATTGAAAGTGTCCTCACTTTTCATCCCATTCTGACTATTTAGCAAAAAAGATTACTTAAAGATATTAATCAGTTGTAAGTAGGTCATTCTTTATTTGTATTTGTTATAAACTTTAAAACCGAAACTGTGTGAACACTGGAAAAATTCTTGTACAGAATAAGACAAAGATGAAAATGTAAACTTTGGTCAGCTATTGATCTCACTCAAAAATTGATGGGGAAAAAGTTTAGCTTGAACACAGTTTTTGTTTTAGGGTAACCCAGACCGTTCGATCGTCTCGCTCCCTCGCTCTTTCGATCGATTTGGTCTAGGGTAAGACTTTCAACTAAAAGCATTTCTATACGCTTACAACATGACGGGCAATTTGTCCATGTTGTTGCAGCTGTTGTTGTTGTTGTTTTGGTTGTTGTGGGTTTTTGAAAATTTGTATATATGTATATAGGTTTTTTTTTTTTTTTTTTTTTAATAACCATTAAAAAGTCACTTCACTTTCACTACCAATACGCATTCCTAGAATTCCGTTCGCAGCTGGGTGCAGCCAATAGTGAAGCAACTGCTTCTTGATCTCGTTTTAGATCCTTAGGTTCGGTCTTATAATAAGCATTGCAGCTATTGGTTTTAAAATTCTGCAACTTGTATTGATTGAGTAAAAAGGATGTCTCCGACTTGTTGACAACCAAGACATTGATCCAATGATGATTTGCCCTAAATTGATGATTGGTGGTATACTCGTTTTTCTTCTCAATTTGTTCGGGGGGCTTTCGAATCGAACTATCAGATATAGCATAGCTTAGCCGTCGTCTCGAGGGTATAGGCCATTCCTTATCGATCGCATTGGAAGTATCATCTAGCTGAATGGTGTTACGGACACGGGACTCGGCGTCCTTTTCATTATTTAGCCGTTGCACCGAGCACAGCAAATCGACAAGACTTTGCAAATCACTTGAATCAGTGTCCGCCGAGCTGCTAGCTTGTTCAACTAGGCTATCTGAATAAAGTGTATCTAGTGAGTCCGATGCCATCAGATTCACCTGTTCGCTATCTTCTCCTGAATCGCTTTCACTATTATAGCGAAGATCGATTGAACTCGATGTGTGTGGCTCGTGTTGCTTGGAATTCAAGTTTAGATGTAGACTCTCCGCCTTCCACTTCTTAGTGCAGTGGGCTAAACTTGTGCTCGCAAAGCTATCATCCTCAGAGGTATATAAACGGGCGCCAGGCGGCGTCTGATATTCCAAGCCTTCGTTCCTCAGCATATCTTGAATCAGTTCCACTGTCAATGGTATAAGACGTTGATTCTTGTTGCGTAGTTGTTCACTTGGTAGCATAACACTAAAATTTTGATATAATAAAAAAAATTTGGGGATAAACTAATTCCGAAAAATCTAGACATGTGTACAACAGTCTGTTTTTGTAAACTGTAAAACTTGAACGACAAAGCATATAGTGAAGCATATGAAATATACGACATGGGATATGTGTTTAAGTTTTTTTTTCTATCTAAGGATGTGACAATAGGATGGGAACCTGTGCAAATATTATGTTAAATTAAGTTAAGCTAAATTTGTATACTATTATAATATAGTATAATAAATAAAATAATATTAATATTATTGTAAAATATTTGGAATCTAAGCAAATGGTATTCACGATTGCTTATTTGCTTTGAAAACACTTTCAACAACATTTTATTCAATTATTTAATTAGTTTTCGTTTTAAGTAGTTTGCTGTTTTTATTAAATTGTTCCATCATGATTGCCTATATGAAGAAGTTTTTATTTTGCATCCCCCTGCGGGTGGGCAACATTTTCATTGGTTACTTTTTCCTCGTGCGCGGCTTTTGCAATGTTTACTTGGTAATTTATCTGTTCCCACTGCTCTGTAAGCGCATGGTCTGGGTATGGTTTCTGCAATCGCAGTTAAATTGCATTGCTGGCGTTCTGCTGCTCGCTGTCACCTTCCAGGTGAGTGTTCAATCGCAATAGATACCCAAAACATATATATATATATTTGTTTCAGCCTCATCTGCTGAACCATATGCTGCCCATACAAATCGTTGTTAAACTAACAAGTATAATTATCGAATTGTCATTTTACCTATTGATGAGTAGTTCTGGTCTGTCATCTCCACTGTTAGTCGGATACTCTGCGGCCTCAATTATAGGTAAGTCGAAAGAAATATTGATTGATTGATGGTCAAATTTGCATTCATTTACAGTTAGTCTGTATTTTGTGATAGTTATTTTCTCCTTCTATCATGAGACGGATCGTAAATAAGACTGTGAAGCTTTACCGCTCTGCTCAGCTGACCGTATGGGTTTTCTCTTATCACGGCTAACAAAAAGAGAGAAGAAGAAGAAAAACGGTAGTTCATACGGTCAACGTCAACGCAGACTTAATCACAGCGTGTAGCATTTTGTGCCATGATTAAACGCAAATTTATTAGGCAAATGTTGCGCAATTGCTGGAAAAAACTAAAAACTTCAAGTCGCGAGCATAAATCGTGCGGGGCCAATTGTCACCAGGCTCCGATGCGGACTACCAAACTGCAGCTAGGGGCTTCAACTTGCGGCGACTATTGGCTTAATTATCGTCGCACCGTTGCGCTACATGCGTGCTAATTGAGTGCGGCCAGCCAACTGACCAACTGACCAACTGAGTTGGCGCTGGAGTTGGAGCTGGAGCTGGACATGGCGTCGATGTCCACGTCCTGCTATGATAACAACAACGCGACGACAAACGCACGCTGTGCTCCAAAATGAAAATTATGTTGCAATCCTCTCTCAATGCCCAATGCTCAAGTGTCTGGTGGCCAGAGCCCCACACACACACTCCGCTGGCTCACTGGCTCACTGATCGGTGGGGGCCTTAATTAATTTCGTTGATTAATTGAAAGTGCGCCTTGACTTGGTTGCTTTATTTTTATTTATTTTTATTTTTTTCTCTCTTTTTTTCCTGCTTGCAGCCTCTTATCTGCCTGGGCTGTTGGCAGTGCAAAGTTGAAGGCAAGTATGAAAAATGTTGCAACAAAAAAGCAGAAACCAATACAGACATGTTCGGGCTTGTTGCTGGTCTGTTTCGGTAGTATGTTGAGGGCGTTGCCGTGGCTGCAGCCCTTTTGGCCCATTACTCTTAGCCCGGCCGAATCGATTATTGCAAAAATTATGTCTGACCGCAGGGTAAGGGCCGCAGCAGCAACTTTAGTTACAATCACAATTACAATTCGATAATGTTCAATAAATTTGCTGTTGGCTTTAAGCTTTACTTACAGTTACCTAATTGGTTTTATATACATGTATGTGCATAAACATATATAACTGTATGCTTAGACTGGGCGAAATGCTTACATTCTGTTTGTTTATAGCTGCAGATAATTATATGTGTGTTTGTAAAAGAATAATATGGCTCTTTTTATACCCTGAACCCATTTTCAAGGGGAAATCTGGGTATGATGGTTTATATATTCTTGATCAGGGAAACGAGCTGAGTTGATTTAGCCCTGTCTGTCTGTCAGCATGTTTGAACGCGTCGATTTCAGAAGATATAAGAGCTAGAGACTTGAAATTTTTTTTCCGCGTATACCACGCGGATAGTTTTTGTCAAAATTTATTCCCCACCCCTACATTCACCTTCTCACCAACATATGTATTTGTAAAAGGCTTATTTCAATTACTAGAGACTTGTACTATCATGGAGATAGTACATCCACCAATTTGTTAATGTATTATAGAATTTCGGATTTTTGAATTTTGGACCTACAACCTATCTTCCAGTACCAATAGAAAAAAAAAACACTTTTTTTTAAATATAAGAATAATTGGCAATTAAATGCTGGAATAATTTGTAGTTACTTTATTTTTTTTTATATTTATGTATCGTTTTTTGTGTACAAGAGTAAGAGTACTATTTTCAAAAAATGTACTGTCTGCAAAACTAAAGCTTAAACAAATTTCAAGACTTTTAGGACACTTTTCAGCGATTTGATTAATAAGCAAAATTTTAGGCAAAGGCTGCAACTCACGCGAATTGAATTATTTGTCAAAATGGTCCAAGGAAATGGCTCATGCTGATTGTTTTGGTTTACGTGACATTTGCAATCAGAGCAAATGTACGAGCCACGCACCGCTGCACTGCTGTGTGGCAAGTGAATGGTGCAGGTAGCGACAGGTTGCCCCCACCCGGATGACAACTGTAACTGCAACGGCAATCCCGATCGCAAATTCAACTGCAACTGCAACTGTATTTGCAGCTTCAATTCCAATTGCAAACAGCTATGCAACGTAGGTGGCACTTGGACACATTTTTGAAATGCGCGCCCGTTGGACAATTGTGAAACTTGGCCAATTGACTAACTGGCCAAGTGTCAAACTTGCCAAATTGAAAACGAAGTTACGATGCGGCTGCCGATTTGTTTATGCACCCTGCACAAGCTCAACTGATTGCATACATTCAGATACACTAAGATTGGGTATATACATACACGGTTATAATATGCGATATGACTATGATACAAAAAGGATGTGTATAGATATAAGTAGATGTAAGATTTATTAACATATAGGCTTGATTAGATGGAAGCTGATTGAAATTGAATTGAATTGCACTTCATTTCATTTATCAATGTATAAAGATTATTTATTTAATCCGTAAATTAAATATAATTAAATTTGAATATTAATTCACATCATATACAAAATAAATTCACTACATTATAAATGCATTGAGTCCAATTACTTTATATTTAATTAATAAAAATCATAATTTTGATAAATAGTAAAAACAAATATATATTGATAAGTATTTTGTTATTTCTTCGTGAAGTTTTTAAATATAATACATAATATATTTTTTAAATAGTCTAAAATTTGAGTCCTCAGAAATTGCATTTTATTTAATTTTTTTCTGCATTTTGTTTATAGCTTAAAAAATATTTAATTGTAATTGTTTTTTTAAATTTTACTAAGATGTTTTCCGTAGATTAGGAAAATTATTTGAAATATTTGTAAAACGAATTTGTTAAGGGTATTAAAAACTCGCTTTTATAAAGGTACAAATTTATATATATTTTATTTTTATTAATTTTTTTTTATTATACTCATTCACGAAAGTGAATCAGTATATTGGTTTTGTGCAATGTCCGTCTTGCTGTCCGTCCGTCTGTCCGTCTGTCCGTCTGTCCGTCCGTCCGTCTGTCCGTCTGTCCGTCTGTCCGTATGAACGCAATCTATTTCGGCGCTATTGAAGCTAGAGACTTGAAATTTGGAACACATACTCGTGTATATCTCCGATTTATAAAGTGTTAAAATTTTCCCGATCCGCCCACTAGGGGCGTGGCAAATCGGAAAATGCATTTTCCGATATACCAGAAATCATGTTTGTTGAAGAGCTAGAAAGCTGAAATTTGGTATGTAGGTCCGCGTTGACCACCCAAGATCACGAGCTATGGCGGATATATCTACGCCCATGGGGGGCGTGGAAAATCGGATAAAACTGTATCTCCTAAAGTTGTATACCTAGAATGCTGAAATTTTGCACGTCAGCTAATGGTATGATTCTATAAAGTCTGAAGATAAATTATAAGTCTACGCCCGTTGGGGGCGTGGCAAATCGGATCTGAAGATATAGTGATTTTTTAAATTCTCCTATATTTTGGACACTATTGATGGCAGAGACCTCAAATTTTGTATATATACTCGGACTGATCACCCAAGACCAAAAAGTTTTGTCGGATATATGTCCGCCCACAGGGGGCGTGGCAAACCGCAAAAGTTTATATCTCCTAAAGTATAATAGCTAGAAGCTTCAAATTTGGATAGTTGAGTTACTGGTAGCCTCCTCTATCGATTCCCCAAAAATAATTTTTACGCCTCTTTAGGGGCGTGGCATATCGAAAAATACCCTGTAATTTTCACATTTTTTGAGGGTAAGCATTCAAACTTTGCAGTTAGGGTACCGTTATCTCTTTCTAAAAACTGACCAAAAATGAGGTGTCTACGTTCAGTTGGGGCGTGGCAAATCGGAAAAACCTGTATATTCTACAGTATTAAAGCGAAACTTAACTACTAAATAGTTGATGGTATGTGAATGAGTATTCCGCAGTCGGTAACGCCCGACTGCAACGTTCTTACTTGTTTTTATATATATATATATAAATATTTTTAATTTTTTTTAGTTTTTTTGCTTTTTGTATTTTAAATTTAATGAAATATTACGCGCACGTGTCAACAGAGCGATAAAATTTATTTACGCAGCACTGCGGGTCAAGTGAAAGCACAATTTGGTTGGCATCTCGGGAATTCAGACGCTGCGGCAGACCTTCAAATTGAATTTACGCCGCCTTGTGGTAAAGGGGGATCAGTGCCAAAAAATTGAAATCGAAATCGAAATGTAAACCTGACTGCTATAAAAATGGGCGTAGGGCAGCCGCACTGACACGCGGCCATATTTTAAATGTCAACAGGCGGCGGGTACCGTTGTCCCCGTACCGTACGAAGATCGTGCAAGCGAAGATCTGGCGGCAGCTACTGCAGCTCTCTGCAGCCAAGGATGTTGTTCGCCTTGTCCGTGTGCATCAAAAATTCAATAAAATACCATTAAATTACAAAATGAAGACAATTCATTTGGGTTGTTTTATTCTTCTCTTTTCGTATGGATTGCTCGTGTTTTCTCTTCTTTTTTTTTTTTTTTTTTTTTTTTTTTTGGGAGGGATCGAATTCTGTGTGTGTGTGTGTGTGCTGGGTTTATTATGCGCTGCATTTTGTATCTTTAAGCAGCGGCATTTAATGTCGCTTTGCAGTTATAAGCAATAAAATATGAAAATCTGCGCTTATAAATGTTGAAAACGACATTTATCGTAATATTTTATGAAATCAGTGAATATTTCGGTGAATGGTTACAACAACAATGGCGCAGACAATGCAACATTATTGTTCAAGTATCCCAAAAATTGACTTGCAATTGAATATATTTTATGCGTTGAGCAGCTATTGATTGATTGATGAGAGTTGCTAATTCAATCCATTATGATATCAAGTTGATTGGCTTGACAAGGTCAATAGTTTGGCTTGAATTCCTTACTAGGAATTGCAAGTAAAGATGGATGAGCGCAGGTTAAGAAAAATCAAGTAAACTCTAACTATAAAATATGAATATATAAACAATATATATATAATACTAGGATACATGAAAATATGCCCTTAATTGATTTTGCTTTTCTATTATAATTTATAATTAGCGCTGCATAATTTTTCGCTGAATGAGTGAAATATAGATAACATTCAGTTCTGAGTAAGACTCTGGTAAGGCATTGTCGTGGGGTCCTAAGCTAAGCGCGACAAGGCCATCAACGGAATTAGTTAGGGAGCATAAAACAAACGTTTTGCAGCCGCAACGCCCACCACAGCTATAAGAGAGAACTACGCCCATAACATATGTATGCATAATTTTTAGTGCTGCGAAAAACCTCATAAATATGTGGCCATTACGACGCTGCGGCTAATGGCCCGGTCTAAGCGTTTCATGCGGTGGTGGGGCGGGGGTGCTGCGGACTGGGGCCTCCAATGCGAACATTACAGGTGGGTTGCCTGGCCTACACAAAACTACTCGTAAAACTTGGCGCTCGTGTGAGCAACTACTACCGCGGCTGCAAGTGCTCTGCGTGCTGTTGCTCCTGATGGTGGTCATTAGGACAATTCCAGCTACAGCTCAAGCTTCAGCTACAGCCTCACCTCTACTGAAGACGCACACGCAGTTGAGTGATGCGCATTGGGGTCATTTGTGTCGGTGATGGGGCGTCACTTGGAGGCCGGGGCTAATTTCCATAATGTTCGCCTGGCCACTAGAACAGTTTATTCACTCGGCAAACAAAGCGAGCTGCATGCGAGTAATTTTGGTGCTCGTAATCTGGGCAGCTCACATGTACATATGCTCTGTGTGTGCGAGTGTGTGTGTGTGAGAGAGTACAAAGCCGCTTAAGTGAATGCCAGGTCTTAACACCTACCGGCCAACAGGTAAACTTTCCTGTCCAGTTTCCAACATATTCTTCTCGCTTCACTTGTTGGCAATGGCAATTTAATGGCTCAGCAATTGCTGACCCGTCGCTCGCTGCAAAGTGGCCGTTGGCTCTTGCGCTGCACTTGGCTTGGACTCTCTGATATCTGGAACTAGGGAGTAAATAAAAAAAAAAAAAAAAAAAAAAAACAAAGCACTATACAGCTTGGATCGAGCGTTGTCGTTGTCTTTGCCAGCGCAACATGAGTATGATT